TAACTGATGATCACTCGTTCTTTCATAAGTACAAATGATGAAATTTGAACGCATATTAATGCGTTTAATTGAAATTTCCTTCTCCTCCTTATTCGACCTTATCTTGCCACCTCTCTACCATCTTAAACGAGCCTCTTTTGAAGTCACCAATGATGTTAAATGTACAATGAATTGCTTGAATGAACTCGAAAAAATTTTTGTTTATAAGAATGATCGCAGATGTGATAATTAACATTTAAAAAATCGCTTTACGCAAAGCTACAGTGTCATGTGAGGGATAGAACTGAACCGAAGTATCATTCAAAATTAAAATTGAAGTGAATTCGAATGATTTTGCAAAAAATTATTTGTAAATCATACCGTTACAAAGTATCCAACTACTGCTCATTGCAATGATTTTCAAAAAATGCTTTTTTGAATTCTAACTTCTTTAAAAATTAAACCGTTTATTTAAATTTATTTCTTTAAGAATAACCAAAACTTAATCAAACTTTTTTTTACATGTGAGAAATTTGACGATTTTGAAAGGAAACAAATAATGCATCGTAAGAAATTATATATAAAATGAAATTGGAGTTGCAAGTGATCTGATTTATTCATTATGAATTGGAACTTATATATTGTGAAAGCGGAAATGGACATTATGAACTTCGAAAATGTGTTTAATCGATATTTATGAAACTACCTCATGAAAACATGCATTACTGTATAATATTGATGAGTAACATTGTCATTTCAGTAATAAATAGGAAGTATTAAGAGAATCTGAATGTTTAATATTGAAGTGAATATTGTTTGTACAACTAACAGAATTTGAACCACTCATACCTTTAGGGCGCAGTTGGGATTTTAATACTGCACAGTTAATCAAATAATTCTCCAACTGAATAGATCCTACTAATAGAAATGAAAAATGCCCTTTCAGTGCTGTGGCAACATTTAGTACTTGATCGAGCAATATTTGTGATGTTTTTCCGGTTCGAAATATTTTTTCTTTCCAGTTGCAGTAATGGATGAAGGATCAGTTTGATAGCAAATTGTACTACCTATCTAATAACAGACAGATATGGCATTTCCGTATATTTCATGCTTGTTGGTGTTTCTCATATTGCTTATATGGAGGTTTGTTTGCTTTCTTGTTGGATGAATAGTGTAAAACAGTGCACGAATTCTATGATCTATAACTTGCTGAAACATAAATTTTGAAAGCTACAATTTTATTAGTGAAAATGACAGGTTTATTTTTTTCTTGAATTTAGTCACGTATTGATTACTTTTGCATCAAATAGAATATAATTTAGAACAGGAAATAAAATATTCTATCAGTCGTTATTATATAATTGATCTTTCACATTAATTTATCGAAACCATCTTTTGGAGATCGTGTCTGATTAATTTAAGTACAAAATAGGTAAAAAGGTTTCATGGCTTATCGTGAAAACTGTATAGCAATCGTTGATCTATTATTTCATATCAAGAATTTAAATTTAGACACCGTGGATGGTTATTATCGTTGGCAGTAGCGAAAATTTGCCATTGTCGTTCTGTACGTTTAGGCAGATGCGGTCTGTTTTATGTAGAACACATCAGACTTTGTTTAAGTGACGGTATCGTAATTGAAGTTGACGATTTCCGCTTAACGATCAGTTTCTTCAATACGCATTATACGTGAGTTCTAGCACGTCCAATGAAGAAATCTTGCAGTTAGTAAGTTAAGTAGTCTATAAGAAAATCAATCAGTAAGATTGACTAGTATATGCAGAAGCAATTTATGGTTTGATGTTTCAAGCCTCGTTATGTTTCATTATGTTATTAGATGCATAGCAGTATGTTAGAAAGTTTTATATCTACAGTGATAAATGAGTCTCACTAGAGAACCTTTTGAATAAAATAAAAATAATGAACTTTTATATGTTAAGCAAGATCACAGTCGTAAGAAATTAGGTCTCTTTACCCATCTAGCTTGGTAGGCCTTTTATTTTGGAACGATTTTCCTCGCTAGAGTTAACAATTTTAGGAAACCTTTTATAATCACGATTAGTGACATCCGTATCGAAGGTGAATGTAATCAACATTTAATCCTGACACCAACCTATAATAGACGATACAGTCACAGAGATTTCGAAAGATATCTTCATTGGTTACAAGTATGTTTGCATTTCTATTTATTTTGCAGCTTCCGCTCTATATTCGACTACATCACTTCTAAAGTCAGCTTGCTGCACATTCGCACCTCAATGTTATAGCTTCGTTTCACTTAGTACTAACAGTCAGAATCTTCTATTTCATATGAAGATGTTTATTTTTGATGAGCTATGAATTATGGGCGATTTATAAAGATTTCATTTTATTTTTTGATTCCGGAAACTTTTTTAGTATACAAGTGCAGTAATTCGTACTGCGCGTGTTGTATTTCTTGATGTAGCGCCAGGATCCTTGTTACATTCAACCTTTCAACAACTACAACTTGATGGATATCGAGATCGTGAAGGGTTAATTTTCAGAAAATTTCAAGACTTTACAAAATACTGAACAATGTTTCTGTTGAGAGAATATTTTTGCTGTATTTCAGGATGCAGGTTGAACTCTCTTGTAAATTGCTGCAGGCAAAATTGTTCAGTCGTGGAACAGCTCAAAATACTGCTCCTCTACTCGTACTTTCGTTGGGATTGTCACTCTGTTGCAGTGTACCTTTGGGTGTTTTGAAGTTGAAGCGACTTGCTGCCCGCATTACTGATCCTCAAATTATTCTTTCGGATGGTTAGTTGTATCGTGATCACAAATTCAATTCCGGTCAAAGTTTGAGAATTTGTTATCTGAGAACTTTTCAAGAAATTTAGATTTATGACAAAACGTGAAGCTTTATCATGTGTTTGAGTCTACTCAATCTACCCAATATTATGTCTTTAACGGCAAAAAAAACCATACAACACATCAAAAATAAAATGAGACTTAATACCTCATATCATTTTATAATATATCTAATCAAAAGTACGAACGTATTTAATATATGACTAAATCCTGCTTTTATGGATGCTTACTATTTGTCGATGTTCAGAAGTGCGATCGAAAGTTTGGGAGTTGTAGTTTTGAACGTGAAATATTTCAGGCCTTTTGGAATATTTTCATGACCATCCAATGCGTCAAAAAACAAAAAAGACATCAGATCAATTTTTTACATCTTTTAATGTTGAAAGCCTTCTGAATACAAGTCTGAAACTGGACATCGAGAATCTAGTATTGAGATATACTGCCAACATGGATTATTCAAAAATGTACATTGCTTCACATTAATTTATTAGAACAGATTTGACGAATCTAAAAAGTTATCAAACATGCAAATTGATTTCTATTATTATTTACCTAGAAGGCTGAATTTTACGTTTTTTCTGTAACAGCTATTGAATAGTGCAATGAGTATTAACTACTCAATTTAATAAAAAGATTTAATCATATGAAGCAGTTTGTTGATTCAGACGTACGGTGGCTGCAAGGTTAAATGTAGCATCAATATCAACGGAAGATAACCAACGGTTTGCTATTGTCTTAACTAGGATTAATGTAGAGGATCAGACGCGGGAGACGTTATTTAGCTGCAATGATTTCGATGCTAAATTAAACGTTTGTTCATTTCTTGTTTTTTGTTGCCCTAAACTTCATCAGTCAGGTGGTCAACAAAATTACTCAATTCCTAACTTATTGATTCTGATGCCATCGCAGTGATGCCTTTTAGGGCTTCAATCATTTTAGGTTTATAAAATAAACCTTCTATGTAAAATTATGATTTTATAAGCAATATGTTCGATTCGATTTTTACTTTTCATTGCAGCGAGCACTGTGCAGTTCAGGAAGCTTTTTTGTGGATATGAAAATATTTAATCCTCATTTTGTTACAAATCAAAAAGCTATCGTTGAGTGGAGCGAGTATTACCATAATATTGAACAACGAATTTCGACTTCTGCTAAGGGTCATTTCGATGACGATTTTTCGACTGCATCTACAGGTAAGCTAATATTTCCTTTTTTCCCAAAAGCAAATTCTAATATCCACGTGTTTAATAATTAAAAATGGTAAAATTGGCTCTAAGGTTTGTAGTAACAATACTTATCGATAGGAGAAAAATTTGAATTTTTTTCATATTCATAAATTAGTATTCCAAGTCTTTAGATTTACACGCAGTACCGACGGAAATGAAGCGATTCTGTTGGGAATCTTTATCAGTAGAAGTAAATTCATTTCACGGTCGTTTAATGCTTTCTAATGGCCAAGAAATCAATGCTGGACTTGAGCTGGGAACATTTCGCGTCAACGACGTAAGTTTGAAGTATTAAATTAAATCTTAATGGGAATTGTGTCCGGCAGTTTGCTCATAACGACATTCGACATTATGTTTTCATGTTTTTTTCTTAATTCGTTCTCTAAATACTCCAAAAATTCTTTTCCGTACCTCCACTGCTCAGAAATTATATTGTTTTGGAAAGGATAAAGCAAGATAGTTCTAGGCTTTATGACACCATATAATTTAAGATAGGATAGTTTCAAATATTAAAAATGAAAATAAGACAACCTTAATTGCAATAGAAGGATCGAATTTTTTTTTGGAAACAGATTTTTACACATTGTTTAAAAAATGTTGCCAAAGCTTCATTTTTTGGAAATGTCTTAAAAAGATGATATAGGAATTCTGTATGTTTGTGATGCAGTTAAAGTTTTAGAGTTTCAAATGTAATAAAATTTCTCTGATACTGCCATTTTTTGATCCTCAAATATCTCACTTCACTTCCAGAATTTTGCATCTGCTGAAGTTGGTTTAGAATCGGTCTGGATTCGACAAGGAAATCTTTTTGTTGATCACTTCGATTCTCGTTTTTGCCACGCTTGGGGCACCACGTTAATTATTGGAGCTTTATTAACTCAGGCATTGTTTTTATTGGAATATTTGTACTCTACATTAGTTTCGAGCAGTAACATATTAGGCAGCTTCGACGTATAATTGGAAATGTGTAAGGAAATCGTTGAAAGTTTCAAATGAATGATATACATGGATATATTTTTTTGCATGAAAAGTTCAATTGAACAAAACCGCAACTAGCTGACAAAAGAGTAGAAATCCTCCGGGACTAAACTACTTTCTACCTTACAAATCGTGAGTTGCTGTAAAGTTCTCTTCGAATTTGTACGAGCTTGTGTGTTCTATTGTATTTTATTATAGTACTCCCAAAATAATGAAACGAAGAGATTGTTGGTCAAGTTGGTTGAATGCCAAATAGAGTATAAGGAAGAACTCATCTGGCAGGTACATAGCACAAAAACTTATGACCATAAAAAAGTTGAAGTTTTTGGGGATTGAATTTCATGGATAACGTTTTATTGGGCTTTTTTATTTATGATTTACGCTTGAAGCAGAAGATTGTGAGGAACTATTTTTTAGTGCCCTTACATTTCGATAAATATTTTAAATAATTGGAAGAATCATTTATATCATTGAATTTGACAGATGGCTTCGTTCTTATCATCTCTTCTGTGTAACAGTTCATCAGCAACATGCAGCTCATCGTCTGCATTTGAGCCCTATCCGCCTCCTCAAGTTATTTTTGCAATACAACTCTCTGTAGAGAAGTATGTTTTTTTATTCTTTTTGCTATTAATGTTTTTTATTCTGTTTTGCTATTAATTATCTCCCTTGCTATTTTGCAAATCGTTAGAATTATTTGGGGACAGCTTTGTATGATTTTCTTCTGGTATTGCAATTAACTTTTTTAGTTCGTAGAAATTTTCCGTATTTTCAGTGTTGTTCTCTTCATTCTGGCTCGACATACATTGTATCTGATTCTATCTATCGAACAGCTGCGTGTGGATGCCTTACCTTATTCAACGACATTGTCAGTATTAGCTCTGAATTTCAAGATGCTACAGGGAATCGTGACAAATGAGGAATTTATTTCTTGGGATGACTCGGCACAAGTAGAGTCAAAAGAGATTGTAGGTGTTTTTTTTTTTCTCTGATTTGATTTGTTTTTTTCTCTATTTGTGATGATTTAAAGATAGTTGGGAATCTCAGAAATCCTAGTTTCATTCCTATTTCGATTATCAATATTATTTCATTATTTTAATTTCTGCAATATTAAGTGCGGAAATTGTGATCGTTTGATGATGCGACTTTCTTGGTTGTCGTTATCCTGGGAATGGATTTTGCTGGCTGAATCAACAGTGAATTTGGTTTGGAGTACTGCTGTACACATCATTTTTCTGGAAACTTTTCGGTTGGTTTTCGTTTTCATCTTCTATAAGCCTTTCCCATGGTATTTTTGGGCATTCGCACTTATTATGCAACATACAACGGTATTAATTTCATTTTTACTCTTGTTGGTAGTTTAATATATGCTAAAAAAAGTAAATTTTCATGAGTTAATGTATTACAAATCAAGTGCGATCGGTCGTTATGTAAAATTTTATTATACTTTTTGATTTTTACTGTTCTTTTCCCTGTATCTTTTTTCCAGAAGTTTAAAACAAATCTCGGTTCTTTTCGGACAGAAAACATCAACTAAAGGGTCTCAGCCGTTTCATTTCAGTATTGAAACATCCAATCCTGTAATAATCAAATTCCAACTACCGAGATCTCACATGTATGTGATGTTTTTGTTAGATTTCAGCATTTTTTAATCTTCCAGATTTAATTTCTTCAGTATTATGAAAATTTTCATTTATAAAGGATGTGCTGGGAAGTACCATCGCTATACATACGATGCATGGATCACATAAAAATTGAAATGCCACAGTTTACTGCTTCCTTAGATTATCATTCTATCCTTACGATTGAGGTAACAATCTTTGAAATATTGTCGAAATTAATTGTTTTTAGATGTGTTCTGATTTTCTTAATAAATTATTAGTATTGAATGCAGCTAGCATTACGAGAATTGAAAGCTACAAAAATTTATTAATGGATCAAAATATATTAGTAGTTCAGCATATAAGGTAATTATATTACAGAAGTTTTGTGTCGAGAAGCAAGCGTTTGATGCAGGGATGGATTTAGGCAGGAATGAATTTAAGAATCTAAAAAACCGAACAAATAAACTTTGGATATGGTCTGCCGATGCGGTGGTGTTCGTTTTTCCATACGATTATAATTTTGCTGCAGGTTATGATGAGGTCTGTTTAGTAAAGCATTTCATTGATATATAATGTTCGCTTATCGTGAATCTTCCTAGTAAATGTATGAAGCTCACATTATAATAAAAGCAGACCATTATCGGGAACATTGCGCAGAATGTTCTGTATCGTAATGACTATAGATGCAATATTGTTGTTCTTTTTTTTTTATATTTGTATTTGTGTTTATGAGAAATATTCGAATTATAAGCATTTTTAGATAATTAATGCATGGAAGTGGATAAAATTAGTACATGAATGGAAGAGAAAACCGTTTACTATCGAGTCTACATTTCCATCAGATTTACGATTCTCAATTAAAGTAATTTATTAAATAACTTGTGAAGCAGTTTAGGAGATTGAGACGGAATTATACATAGATCATTGTAGTACTTTATTTGGATTTATTCTATGCTTCAGGTAGATACAAAAACGCATGATGTAGAAAGATGGAGGAAATCGTTTATGATTTGAAACTGATATATATTTTTATACTTTTCGTCTTGATTTATAAGCGTGTGTTGCTCCGCTCAATTTACAGAATGCTTCACTACAAATCAATGATGATCCATTTGAAGTGCAACTTCAAAATAATTACGAACTGATGGTTGATGAAGTGTACGAATGCGAACGTCGGCGTCAAATGTTAGATCAAAAATTGGAACAGCTTCAAAAAACACGTCCTTTTCTCTCACGTTAGTAACCTTTTCCTTCAGCAGTATTGGTTACTAAATTAGAATTAAATTTCGATAAGGCGGTTCTGAAAAGCTATGCTCTCACTGTTGCAGAATCGAAGGCAGATGAATTACATCGATCTCTAATTAAAAAAAATGCAGAAATTTACATTGAAAGATCCAGGAAATTGCCGAATTCCAGAAAGCATCTTTGTTTATGGTCCATTACGAATCTTGAGGTGATATTATTTGTAACGATTTTCTGTTTCTTTTTAAACAATTTATTTTTTCATATGTTGAATTCATATGAGAAATGGTGTGGTTTTAAAATTATGCTTCACTCGTGAATCATTAAATAAATATGTCTATTCAATTATATACTTTAGATTGTGGATAGTAGCTTTCGAATAAATCTTAAATCCATTTAGATTCGTGCATATGCTGATATAACTTTACACGGAAAAGAAAATGCGGTCAGACATCTGAAAACTTTCAATCCAGAATCGTAAGTTTTACGTGAAAAACAAGCGTAGTAACGAGGTGATCACTGTTACAGTTTAATTGATGAATGGAATTTGAGATATAATGTTCTCTCATATCGTGGTATATCTGTGTTCAATGTTTCATAAACTTGTTCATTATGAAGAAGTGTAGTAGATTCTGCTGACGATAAAAAAAATAGTTTTTTTCTTACAAGAACCTTAAAATACAAATTTATAGTAGATATTAATAACTTATCTTCTCCTTTGATCTTTTTTGCTTGTGCTATTAGTTTACAAATTTTTAGGTCATTTCCAGCTGAAGGAATGGAATTCAGTACACTATGGGCACGTGCTGTTGAAATGGATTGCGACGATTGGGTAATGCAGTTCCGAGATTATCCGTTGCCATATGTTTTGATGAAAGATGCACATTTTTGGGGACATTTAGTGGGAAGTGAACAACTCACAGGTAAATTTTGCAGAAAGTTTGCAATGGGCTGAATTCTCATATGGGAAGAAATAGAGAGATTGACAAGATTTGTAACTCGATATGTTGAGCTGTTAACTGTACTATTTCTTTCATAAGGCTTGTATGTTAGTTTTGTTTGCTTTCTAACAAATAGTAATTTATCTTTCAGGACCTCGCTCAATACGGACAAGTACAGTAAAACTACCAGAACCTTGGGGGCAATATACCATTGAGCGAAACATGTGTCCTTTGAAATTTTATTACGATCTATCATGCGGTTTGTCTTCCTTATGAAATAATTTATCAAGTAATTGAGTTCACCGGTTTTATATCCATACGAGTATGAATTAATATTATGCACTATTTCATCTTAATTTGATATTAGGAATTGTTGCTATACGCAATTTACTTTTACTCAGCGTTTCTATAGTCAAAAATCATAAAATCAGTTGAGGAATCATTTCTTTAACCTGTTCATTAATTAAAAATACTGAAAATTACTTGTTTGTAGAGATTAAAGAATTGAATTGCACTTACGGGCCTTGTTGGGAACCGTGCTTATCAATGATTAGCCTTTGTTGGAATAATGTCAGTTTGCCGTCGAGGTATCTAATCTCTTTCTCTTTGTTTGCTCTTTTAAAACAAAAGTTTACTGCGTCATGGAATTTTTTTGGGTCGTTTCGGAAATTTTTGCAGAAAGATTAAGTTAACTTAATTAAGATTAATTAAGTTTATTTTTAGCATATAATAGTATATGCTACAGATTTCTAAAACTGCGGTTATACAGTTCTTAAAGTCACATGATCTACGATATATGCGATCCATTTCATCATGAAATGGCACGATCGAGTTTGTTAATGTATTATTTTAGTGATCCAAGCCCACCACTGCCGTTTTGGGACAAAATCCGACTACTTTTGCACGGCCGTTTTTCTATGCTTTGTCAAAATTTGGTCACGTCGATGCTTGCATCAACGGATCCATATAATTCCACTGAACTGGTTGAAATATGCTGGAAAGAATTCGGGTTTGATTGGATTACAAGTAAGTAACAATTCCCAGCAACTTTTTATTATTTTAAGCTTTTTTTGAAAAGCGCCCAATTTCAGTTTTTCATTAACGTTTATATAAAATCCGTTCTGATCTGTTCTGAATATTTTATGCACATAGGTTGCTCATGAATCTTCAAAAATCACGTCATACTTCACAGTCTAAGCAATGGTAGCTATAAAATGATCTTATTGTTCCACTAGATGGAAATCCTAGTCAGTAAATTTAAATTACGCTTATATCGGTATTGATATTATGTAATTCAGATCAGTTTTGTGTGCAAACGGATATGGATGCATTCGTACGTACAGCATCGAAATATGATGAAAGCCGCGTTTTGCATTTGCCGGGTTTTAAATTCAGCGTGAAGATGGATTGGGCGTGTATTGGTGATCCACACGATCATCATAGTGCTCAGCCATGTGCACCTGATAAGCTTCCGGAATACTCTTCTACGAATTTAGTAATTTTTCAATGCTGTATTTATCTTAGGGCATTGAAAATTTTGGTTCAAAGAAACTATATTTAGTTTTTGCGTATTAACTTTTTCCACTCTTTTATTTGTGAAATAACTTACTAATTTACTTTCTTCATGACAATGAAGTCTTAATTACACAATTCTGTTGATTACATTGTTAAAAAGGGCGCAGTTCAATAATAAATTATATTTTTTAGCACATTTTATGTCGTAAAACTTTATTTTGGGATATTGCAGGAACATGATTCTTATCGCGCATTCCGTTCAACGCATCTCGATTTAGTCTTTACTTTGGAGGTGAAGCAGCCAGATAGCACAGTCACCAATAGCAAGTGTCCGCAGATTTTGCTTTATGCTAATACTTTTCGGTGGTTGGAATTTCTCAAAGCTAGTTTTCATTCTTTTTTTTTGCATTTTTATTATATTGTGCCTATCCGGATAGATATCATCGACTGATTTATGCAGGTTTCTTCTTTTATGTATATCATTATTTATTATTTTTTTCTTTGAAATGTGAAATGAAGTTAAGCACTTTAGCAATGTTATTTTCAAAATGTGTCGCGCAATTTGTGATAAAACTTCAATTTTACTATTTAGAATACCATGACGACAGTCAACAGACCAATAAAGCGTGGTCAACTGTTTGGTGGAGACAAAACTAAAAAAAGTCAGCTCAGTCGACATCTAAAGTAACTGTTTAGTATTTCAAGCTCTGAGCTTCTGTCGATTTATATTTTTCTACTCATAAGTAATCTAAAGTTATTGAAGTGATGAAAATTTTTGTTTTGAAATTCGCCTTGATATTGTAGGCACATTCAGCTAAATGTTATGCTTCCACGCTTTCTGATTACTTACTGGATGTCGTACTCCTCATCGCATGGTCTACGAATGATTAGTGAAAGTTTAAATTTAACC